TTTTTTACTGTTCATGGTTTTGTTTATGACAAATGGCACAGCTGTCATCCAGATGGGCCGTACTGCAGTCTGTATAGAAGAGGAGGGACAGCACTGTAACAGAGAAAAACCTTTAGCCAGTATACAGTACTTCACAAATCAGAATATGTTTCCTCCTGTATGAGTTTTTGAACATCTTAAAACAGAAAACATAAGGTCATGATTTAAAATAAGATGTTATTGAGAAAAGTCACAGTTCAATGAGCTCACTGTTGTGCTGTATTAAATGGTCCAGAAAAAGATATTTAAGTATTCTAGTATGACAGAGATTCTCAGGCATCTCAGACACACCCTGACGGTCATGGCAAATTAAAACTGTAGGTTTTCAGAAAAAAAAACTACCCTCACAATCACACCTTTTAAATGTGGAGTGCCTGCACTTTGGAACAGTATGACATAACTGGAGGTCATGACCCAACAATGGGCTGCAGTTCTGTTCTAACAGGGAAGCATGGGGGAAAAAATGCGAAGTGCAAATAATAAAGTGTAATTAACCACATAATTGTGAGGAGGGGAACAAATCACTTCCCTTACCTTTTGCACTTGATGTTAAAGGCTGCACATCAAACTCTATTATATTTAGCCACAAATGCATCTGTAACTTTGTAGCTTGGTAGTAAAACCAGTTGCAAACCACCAATTTTATTAAAGGAATAGTTCACTTAAAAATAAAAGTTGTTTGTAGATAAGTTTGTTTCTTCATTGGAACAGATTTGGAGAAATTTACAGTTGTATTACATCACTCACTCACCAATTTATCCTCTTCCGTGAATGGGTGCCATCAGAATGAGAGTTCAAACAGCTGATAAAAACATCACAATAATCCACAAGTCATCCACACACCTCCAGTCCATCAATTACTGTCTTGTGAAGCAAAAAGCTGGGTGTTTGTAAGAAAAAATACATCTTTGGGACGTTTTTAGCTTTAAACTTTTAAGTCTATCCTCTGTTGTCCTCTTACTGTATATCAAAATCCACCAAAATATTTGCTTATTTAATTGTGCATGATCAGTGCATATTTCTCTCCTTATTCAGACAAGACGACTTTTTCACTGGAGAAAGCAATATTATGGATAGAGGCATTTTAGCCAGAAGCAATGATTTGAAGTTAAAAACATGTCTTAATGGTGAAGCTTCTTACTTTACAAGACATATATTTATGGACTGGAGTCATGTGGATTACTTGGATTATTGTGATGTTTTTATCAGCTGTTTGAACTCCCATTCTGACGGCACCCATTCACTGCAGAGGATCCATTGGTGAGCAAGTGATGTAATGCTAAATTTCTCCAAATCTGTTCTGATGAATAAACAAACTCATCTACATCTTGAGTACATTTTCAGCAGAATCAATTAATCAATAAAAGTTTGTCGACTCAAATTGTCTCACTTATTTACTGCAAAGTTTCAAATCAGACCCAATCAAAATACTGTGCCCTCTTCAAATCTATACAAAATATGTGTATAAGCAAAATAGGGTAACTATACAAGATCTCTAAATGTCAAACATTGTTTCTGCCTTTTGTGTCAAACATAATATTAGTATAAGGGCATCTTTCCCAGCATCTGCTGGTGCAGACAGAATGTTAGTAATAAGCATTTGTATATTATTTTGTCGGTGATATACAGACTATTGCTTGTTTGCCAGCTCATTGTGAAATCTGATTCATCCCAGCCAGCCACAGAGAGGTTTGTCTGGACATGAAAGCATGCACCCCACAGCCAGGTGCAGATGCAAAACATGCTGGACAAGCCTCTGACACCTTCTCCTTCATAGTCAGCTTGTTACAAGTGCACAGACAGACGCAGCGGCATGTATTAGCTTACATCAGCCTGCTGAATTCCCAAAGTCTGCAAGAGCAGCCTGTTTTTAAGCGGTTTAACAAGGTCTGCAAATGAGAAACATTTCTGAGGGCAAACTCTTCAATACTGGCGGTAAAGCTTCTCCTCTCCCTGCTTAAATAGTGGACTATAAAAAGAGGTGTGCGTCTATTGGGAGACAATGCAAATTTAAATCTGAATTTGATTCTTGTGCTGTTGTCGTAACTTTTATGAGTTGGTTTGTCTTTTCCAGGGGGATACCACTGAGCAACAATAAAATAAAATGTGTTGAGCCAATTTTTAAACTTGCACCAGGGTTACATAACAGGCGCAAGCCAGTAACCCAGTTCCTGACCACAGACTATTATACGCATTAGATTTTCCCCTGAGTCTGCTGGGCTATGCAGGTGATTTTAAATCCTTCAGACCCATTTTATATTAAGTGTCTTTAATGTAATAACATTCAAATTAATCATGAGATGCAGTGCACTTATTGTGTATGTACATGCTTTTAAATTGTACTTATATTTTTTAAAAATGCTGAAAAAATTGCTTAAAAGTTACTCACCCTCAGGCCACCCAAGATCCACATCCACTTGCTCACCAGTATATCCACTGCAGTGAATGGGTGCCGTCAAAATAAGAGTCCAAACAGCTGATAAAAGCATCACAATAGTCCACAAGTTATCAACATTACTCCAGTCCATCAAATTAGTGTCGTGTGAAGTGAAAAGCTGCATGTTTATAAGAAAAAAATTCATCATCAAGGCATTTTAATTCAAACCATGACTTCTGGCCAAAATATGAGTCCAAAATCCATAACACTTCCTCCAGTAAAAAGTCCATCCCCTGATGTCCTCTCACATCAAAATCCACTGACATACTTGTTTCAAACTTATTTAATTTTTTGCGTATTTGATTCAGACTAAATGTTGTTGTTTTTTTTCACTGGAGAAAGCATATTATGGATAGAGGACTCATATCTTACCTGGAAGTTGGTTTGAAGTTATAGACATCTTTATGATGGATTTGTTTCTTATAAGCACACAGCATTTCACTTCAAAATACATTAAATGATGGACTGGAGTCGTGTGAATTACTTGTGGATTTTTGTTATGTTTTTATCAGCTGTTTGGACTCTCATTCTGACGGCACCCATTCACTGCAGAGGTTCCATTGGTAACTGATGTAATGTTAATTTCTTCAAATCTGTTCCGAAGAAGAAACAATATAATCAGAATAGTGTTCAATCAATAATACAAAAAAATGCTGTGACAAAGTGATACAACACCGGGTGATGTTGAAATGGTATCTGTCAAAACAGTTTTCCGTCTAAATATCTGGTAAGACAATTGCACATTGCTCCCTCAAAAACAATCAAGAAGATTCCAATGCATTGAGCAATGGAAACCGTCCATCATCCAGAATCATTCAAAGAAAGTACATTTAATTACACCCTTTGTGCATTTTGCATTAATTAGCTACAACACATTGACTTAAAAATTAAATTTCATTTTATTGTATTGTATTAGTAAAAACTTAAAATTACAGTAATCACAATTATTTGTCACCAGTGATTTAACTGTAGCAGCATAAGAGGGATGTGAAAAATGTGGACATATTCAATCACTAAATGCATTATAAGCTACTAATAAAATTACTTACTATACTCTTGATGTGCTACTATGTCCAACATTTTGAAAATTAATACATCACACGGCCCTCAACATACATTAAAGCAAGAGTTATCATGTCTCCCTCATCAGTGCAAACAAATAAACTAAATTTTGCATGGAGCTCTTAGACATTACTCCACCACAGCTATGTCTAAGGCTGTCTGACCAAAGGCTTGGAACAGACATTAACACATTACTTCTTTCCACACTTGTGGACATATTACATGCCTACAGATTTTGAAAACTCACTTAAAGCTTTTATATACTATTTGTCTGAGTAATAACATAAGCTGGTCCTCTTTATATCATAAACTGAATATGTCAAATATCAGTAACATAAAATATATAGTTGTGGTGCTTAAATTACATGTTAGCTTCAACCACAAACATCTGCTAGTGCATTATTTTAATATACTACACCTCAGAATGATGGATGTCTCATTTTACATATCTTGATTAAATAAAGCTTCATTTGAAATATAACAAGTGTTAACACTGTACTACTTTTTTTTGTTTCCTGAGGCAAACGCTCTATTCCCTTTTAAAGTTCAGTTTCTCAGTTGTTTGACCTCACATTTTTTACATTACATAATACCCCATTTCATAGGCTGTTTAAAGCTGAAATTGCATTGCCATGTTGACCTAGCATCAGATTCCCATAACTAACTCACAGCGTTAACTGTACAGGGCAACTTCTACCTACAGTTCAATGTTTACCTAATGCCAGTCGCAGTTCCATAGCAGTCAGCACCTTCTTTCTTCAGATGGCAAGGCTCCATTTTTATCACTGCAGTGAAATATATGCAGTATGTCTTAATCTAAGACATAGCTACAGAAGCCATGGAATTTACCGGCCGACTTGGATGAAAAATCACATTCTACACTTTACCAAAGGCATGTAAACTGGACGCCTACAGTTTACACACCATGAAAATGACTTTGAAATTTAATTTACTGTTGTACTAGAATGTTCCACTAATTACAAAGGTTGAAATACAGCCTACCAGAAGGGCCAGAAGTTTAACCTGAAAGCAAAGGGCAATTGTTTATGTCTACGCCACAGAACTGCATCGAGAACTGTGCAAGTGTAGGAATAACATTTAGCTATGGGAAACTTTTACACTGATTACCCAATCAGGTGGAAAAAAATGTCTGGTGCTGGAAGTTCATGATGCAAATCACTGATAGTTTAGCTGTCCTACTGACAAAAATATTCTGTACTGCTTCCAATCCATACATTTAGTAACCAAACTAAAAGACTTGTTGGACTCATTTGTGTGACAATGCCACCTATGGGGCGTAAAGAAAAATACTGAAGAGTTTATAATACACAATATGTGATATTTTGTGATACCTTGCTTTACAAACAGTTTTCTTAGTTTGCTATCGTTGTCTTAAAAAAAGTTCTTTGGGACATAAAGCCCACCGACATCAAACAAACACCCGACGTCTGCACATGCACGAACGTAGCGACGCGATGACGTCACTTATATGCGCCACAACCTTCAATGCTAATATACTTTTTCTCTTTACAGTTAGACATATAATTGTATAATTTCTAGACATGCAGAGAGCCGCGAAGTGTGCTTTGAGACTGGACATTAGTCGTGCTTTCTGTCCGTCAAACGTGAGGAACTGTCGTGCAGTAAACAGAGGTAAACGTGTGTATGTAATGACAGCTGCTTCACACTGATGTCAAGAAAACAATTCTTCGAACTTCAGCAGTAACACTGCTTAAATGATGGCTTGTAGTGATGGCCTTAACATAGGAATAATAACAGTAAAAAAAAATCTAAACTTATATGATTTGTAAAGGTTAGATTGCTTTGATTTATGTGACGTGATTATATATATTTTTTATTTTGGAAAATTTGAAGTTTCTCTCAATATTTCAGATATCTTGCAGATGAGGGCTAAAATTAAAGTCACAATTTTTGTTTGCAGATATGTGAATCACGAAATTTTCTGACACATTATTTAATATCCTAATGTACTCAATATTAATTTACTTTGCTAACTCGGTACAAAATAATGCCTTTTTTTCCTTTCAACAAGTGGTTAGTGTGGAATTGCTTACATAACATTCAGAAAATTTATATAATTGTTTTATTTATTTATCTAGGTTTCTATTTATTTTCTATGTTTGCTTTTTTTTTTTACCATGTTAAAATTATGTACATATCTAGCTTAAAACCAGTATAAAACCCTGTTACTCTTTTTAAACTGAATAATGCAGTAAACATAAAATGTAATATGTAATTGTTTTACTTCCATAATGTAGATTAAGTCCAAATTATGTTGTTTTTTGAGTTTGTAATATCAAAAAAAGTGCTGTTTCATAGTAAAGTAGTAAAAATAGTAATAATAATCAATGACAAGGTGTGCTCAATCTTTTGTGTATTTAAAGGCAAAGTAAATGTGTTATTTTGTTTGTATGTGTGCAGTAAATGGCTCAGTGTCATGCAGAAGATACAGCGTCCTTCCTCCACCACGTGATGAAGAGGAGAAAGCCATGCTGGACAGTATGTTGAGGGTTGATCATGCAGGAGAGTACGGAGCCAATCGCATCTACGCTGGGCAGATGGCAGTTCTTGGAAGAACTCAGACAGGGCCCCTAATCCAGGTACTGAACATTAGTCTTTAAATGCACATACGCAGTTTAATGCAGTAACTGATGTACTTTTCACATTTGCAGCATATGTGGGACCAAGAGAAAATGCATTTGGAAAGGTTTAATGAGATCCTTGGTGAGCATCGGGTTCGACCAACATTATTGTTGCCATTATGGAATATTGCTGGGTTTGCATTAGGTATGTTTATAACTATGCATGTTTATTTACTTGCTTTTGCACTATACTTTGTGATAATTTGCTTCTACCTCTGTGGTTTCAGGGGCCTGTACTGCTCTTCTGGGTAAGGAAGGGGCTATGGCCTGCACTGTTGCAGTGGAGGAGAGCATCTCAGAGCACTACAACAGCCAAATCCGAAGACTAATGGAGGCTGACCCAGAGAGATACACAGAGTTACTACAGGTAATGTGTGTATTTATACCAGTGCTGTGCATGTACACTTATAGTACAGCTTTTAAAATCATCACTTCATTCAAACCATTTTTTTAGCTAAATGCAAAAAGGTAGATATCTAAAATGCACACTGAGACATAAACTTAATGTTTTTAATTTAATCAGCTAATTAAAGAATTTCGTGATGATGAAATAGAACATCATGACACAGGATTGGAGCATGATGCTGAGTCGGTGAGTTTGATATGTTGGGTTGCTTCATATGAAATGTATGTTTTAGTTTTTTGTTGTTGTTGTTGTGTTTGAAGTATTTTTTTACTTTGTTTTTCCACTATAGGTACCAGGATATTTGCTTTTGAAAACAGCAATACAGGCTGGCTGTAAAGCTGCTATCTATATTTCTCAGCGTATTTAGAGTCATTTTAACAATGCATGATGTGTAAATATTGTTTTGTTTATGTCAATCATGTACAGTAAGTAGTTGATTTATGGAGAGCACATTTTGAAAGAATATAAACAATCTTTTTTATCATTACTGCTGTATTTCCCTCTTTTTTTTGACATATATTGTTAAGACATAAATGAATATTATTTATTTATGCCCACCTATTCTCTGAACGACAGCAGAATTTGCACATCTTAAAGCCCACCTGAGTCAGGGGTTTATTTCTGTTTTAGATTAATAGTGCTGACAGCTTCATTGCATGATGTAAGATGTTTTTAAAAAGCAACAAGTATTGAACTGCATATTTGGCATCCAGATTGTGTGACTAAATTACCATAACATAAAAGCATGAGTGATGAGTCCGGTCAAGCTGCAGGTGTTAATAACAGTAAACCATAAAACCGACAACTATATTATCTCACTGTTTAAGAGAACAGAGAGAAAATTCCAAAACTTTGAGTCAATGCACAGATGTGTTCACACAAAAAAAAATGTTGTTGTTGTGTTTGAAGTATTTTTTTACTTTGTTTTTCCACTATAGGTACCAGGATATTTGCTTTTGAAAACAGCAATACAGGCTGGCTGTAAAGCTGCTATCTATATTTCTCAGCGTATTTAGAGTCATTTTAACAATGCATGATGTGTAAATATTGTTTTGTTTATGTCAATCATGTACAGTAAGTAGTTGATTTATGGAGAGCACATTTTGAAAGAGGTTATGGTCAGTTTGTGTGATTCTAAAAGTAAACTTCTGACATCTTTAACATTTGAAACAATTTTGGAATTTAAAAAATTGTCTCACAAAACCGTTTATTTGCTCCAAATAAATGTGTTCACAAAATCATTGTTTTGTTTTGAACTGAGAGGACACCCTTGACAGGCAGGCTATAAAAGAAACCATAGTGGCTTAAAATAAACCATGACATCATCATCAAAGACAAAAGTGTATATATTGATAATAAATTACAAGTAAAGTGACTTGAAGATTGAAGTGATTGCAAGTAATGAAATATGAAAGGCATACTATCATGCATGTTGTCTGTATGGCGCCACTTGGTGGACATAATATGCAAGATGACTTAAAGTGATACTCTGCCCAACAAATATGAAAATTCTGCCCTCATATCATTCTATATGCATTTCTTTATTCTGTGAAACATATACGAAGATATTTTGAAAAATGTTGGTAGCTAAACTGTTTTGGTTCCCATTAACTTCCATTGTATGGACAAAAAACACAATGGAAGCCAATTGGGAACCAAAACTTCTAATCAACATTCTTCAAAATGTCTTCTTCTGTGTTCTGCACAAAAAATCGCTTTAATGCAAGAGATATAATGGATAGCTCTATGAAAATCTATGAAGGCCAGACCTCCAGAGAACATTTGTCAGAATTGATAAGAAATAGGAATAGTGGATGACAGTGGAAGAAGTTCACATTTATTTGTGCAACAAGTACTTAATTTTGCAGTTAATATAATTCCTGAAAATAAAATCCATGACCTTGTCATTGCTACTACTAAATTCCATCACTTGATGTATAGGAATATGAAGACAGACATGAATGTAAGATCTGACACTTATAAGTAGAGATGTCTTTTCCATGAACCAGTTTTCCACCTCACAATGCATTAGATGTTTCAGTGTTCGGATGGCATCACCTTCCATCCATACAGCACCCTGAGACAAACTACAGCCGCGCTCTAGTTCACATATATAAACAGTGACGTGTGTGTTCATAAATCATAAATCATGTCCCCCAGTTTAGATCCTGTTGCTCATAAATTTCAAAAGGTTTAAGAAGAGGTTAAACAACAGTGCTTTGATTTTGTTTAGAATATGCATTGTGCAAATGACAGCTGTCAAACCTTTCTGAGATGCCACATTGCTGCATTAGATGTGTTCATTTTTCCAAAGCACACAATAGGTCAGATTTCAGTGTGTGATTATTTAAATTAATCTCTTTGGCTTATACTGTTAGACTATTAATATTTAACAGTCTTACAGTATAAGCCAAGAGATTAATTAATATATTTAATTTAAGGAACATTAATGGCATAAATGCATGCATACATACATGATGCCTGTCATTTATATGTATTTTTTATTAGATATCTTTTTTTTTTTACTTGGCAATTTTTAATGGTTTTATATTTACCTTTCATTTCATTATGGATAATAAAATATAAACAATCTTTTTTATCATTACTGCTGTATTTCCCTCTTTTTTTTGACATATATTGTTAAGACATAAATGAATATTATTTATTTATGCCCACCTATTCTCTGAACGACAGCAGAATTTGCACATCTTAAAGCCCACCTGAGTCAGGGGTTTATTTCTGTTTTAGATTAATAGTGCTGACAGCTTCATTGCATGATGTAAGATGTTTTTAAAAAGCAACAAGTATTGAACTGCATATTTGGCATCCAGATTGTGTGACTAAATTACCATAACATAAAAGCATGAGTGATGAGTCCGGTCAAGCTGCAGGTGTTAATAACAGTAAACCATAAAACCGACAACTATATTATCTCACTGTTTAAGAGAACAGAGAGAAAATTCCAAAACTTTGAGTCAATGCACAGATGTGTTCACACAAAAAAAAAACAACAACAAAAAAACGGATGTTAAAAAAGAAATAAACAATATTATTCCACCGTTTACTTTTCTCCAGAAGGAAGTTTTTTTATTCCCAACGCCTGCATGTCTTCCAGATTTACGCATTTATCATAGACTATAAATGTATTTTTATGTGCCTGAACTCAACTTTTTGAGTAGATCTTTTTTTAAAGCACAGGATATTTAGCATACAAAGCAGCTAATTTGCAGTAATTAACTTTTTCCAGTGTCCATGGTTCAAACCTACTTGGGAATGATCAAACTTTGTTTCAGCACCCCAAATACTTAACCATAAAGCTTCCTACAATTATGTCCCACAGTGCCATAGCCTTTACCATTTCATTCTGCCATCATAAATATAACATCACTCTATCGTTTATGTTTGACTCTATTAATCTCTCTCACTTTACCTTAATACAACTAGGTAAGAGGACATTCTGAAGATGCATGACAAGCCATGTCAAATTCTACCCATAGGGTGTGCTACAACTGAAAAACCCTCAGAACTCCACAATCATTTGTTCCATCAAGTTCAAAACTGGTATACTTTGGGGCAAATGCTAACATGTTCTATCACTCGGATAAACCACAAAACATATCTGCCAGCAGCTAATCAAATTTCAGCAGCTAACAGTGTGAAATAAGGGGTATTTAAACATTCAAGAATAGTTTTTGAGCAAACATGCATTAGATCATTGGCTGTCATTCATAAAGTCAGACTGATGTTTATGCATAAGTAATGTGTGTGTTTTGGATCCCGTCTAACTGTATGTGTCTGGAAAAGAGCTTTGCCTAAAATCACCTCTCAGAGGAATCCACTTTTATATTGAGGAAATCAACGTCAAGAACAGACTTAAAAATTCCAAACATTATGGCTTCTGTATCTGTGAAAAATTGTTGCTGTAAATTTTGAGCACAATGGTAATATAAATCCACACAAATCATAAAAGCTTTCGGATGCAGCTCATTTCATTTCTTGGCAACACCAGAGGCATCCAGTGAATCACTGACTATAATGTTAAACACCATCTCTTGCTCACATCTCTCTTTTAATAAAAATTCAGTTTTTTTTTTAAAATTTAAATATGAGTTTGTCTGCTCATTTTTGTACAGTAAACCATAGTTGTCTGTTATGTGGTACGTTTGAACTAATTTTAAACTTAATATTAAACTGTTTCTGGTTCATCACACTATTAGATGAGAATAGTGGATGACAGTGGAAGAAGTTCACATTTATTTGTGCAACAAGTACTTAATTTTGCAGTTAATATAATTCCTGAAAATAAAATCCATGACCTTGTCATTGCTACCTCTACGTTCCACCACTTGAAGTATAGAAGACAGACATGAATGTAACATCTGACACTTACAAGCAGAGATTCGGTGAACTGAGCAGTTTGTCTTCCCATGAACCAGTTTTCCATCTCACAATGCATCAGATGTTTCAGTGTTCGAATGACATCAGCTTCCATCCATACAACACCCTGAGACAAACTACTGCCAGCTCTAGTTCACATATATAAACAGTGACGTGTGTGTTCATAAATCATAAATCATGTCCCCCAGTTTAGATCCTGTTGCTCATAAATTTCAAAAGGTTTAAGAAGAGGTTAAACAACAGTGCTTTGATTTTGTTTAGAATATGCATTGTGCAAATGACAGCTGTCAAACCTTTCTGAGATGCCACATTGCTGCATTAGATGTGTTCATTTTTCCAAAGCACACAATAGGTCAGATTTCAGTGTGTGATTATTTAAATTAATCTCTTTGGCTTATACTGTTAGACTATTAATATTTAACAGTCTTACAGTATAAGCCAAGAGATTAATTAATATATTTAATTTAAGGAACATTAATGGCATAAATGCATGCATACATACATGATGCCTGTCATTTATATGTATTTTTTATTAGATATCTTTTTTTTTTTACTTGGCAATTTTTAATGGTTTTATATTTACCTTTCATTTCATTATGGATAATAAAATATAAACAATCTTTTTTATCATTACTGCTGTATTTCCCTCTTTTTTTTGACATATATTGTTAAGACATAAATGAATATTATTTATTTATGCCCACCTATTCTCTGAACGACAGCAGAATTTGCACATCTTAAAGCCCACCTGAGTCCATAGTTGTCTGTTATGTGGTACGTTTGAACTAATTTTAAACTTAATATTAAACTGTTTCTGGTTCATCACGCTAAAAAAAAATCACAAATTCTGCCATTATTTACTCACCTAAACATTCCAAACCTGTATGATTTTCTTTCTTTTACAAAACACAAAAGCAGATATTTTGAAGAATGTTTTTGCCCATACAATGAATGTCTCAAAACGGTTCAATTCTTTATATGTGGAATGCTCAAACATTCTGTTTTTATTCCATTCTAATCATTCTTAGTGGTTTTTCTTAGATTTTA